CTCTATCGAATGGGAGTAATCCAAAAACTAACTCACAAATTATTTAGTAAAAAAGAAGCGAGTGAGTAATTGCTCTCAGTTAGAGAAAATTCAATGTTCTGAAAATCAACTAACCTCACTAAATCTAAGTAATTGCTCTCAGTTAGAGAAAGTTTGATGTTCTGAAAATCAATTAACCAATCTCACTTTACCTAATAATCCTACTAATTTAAAAAGATTAGAATTAAAAGGTAATAATTTCTCCCGCGACTTATCTTTTTTAAGTGGGGCGGTTAATTTAGAAAAACTTGATTTAAGTGACCATAAATTCATTGGCTCTCTAGAACCTTTGAAGGACTTAATAAAATTAGAGGAACTGGACATCAGCAATAATCAATTCACTGGTCCCTTAGATTTTTTAAGTAACCTAAAGCAATTAAAAGTACTTGATGTTAGTGACACGGATCTAAATGAAGTAAATATCGATAAATTACCCAGGAGTTTAGAGTATATTTATTATTCCACTGATAAAAGACCAAATTGTAAATTAACTACTATTATTCCACAGTTAAGGATATTTAATTATGGTCGCTGTCAAAAATGTCAACAATTTAATACTAGTCAAAATTGATGTCAACCTTGTGCAGAACAAGAATGACAAGCAGATATAAAACACTTAACTGGACAAGAATTAGTAAAGAAGTTTAATGAAAAACAATATAATAGAAAAATAAAATGAATACCCTATAAAGAATTTGAAATAGAAAAAGATGAACAAGGTCATCCTAAACTTTTCGCCCAAGGAGGTTTTAGTAAGATTTATAAGGCTAAATGTAAAGAAATAAAAAAATACTATGAATATTCTTTTAGTGAAGATGTGGTTCTCAAATCTCTCACTAATTCCCAAAACATTACTTTGGAATTTTTGACTGAGATTGCTAATACTAAATTAATTGATGGCGACTTTATTACTAGTAGTAGTATTATAGAATGCTACGGTATTTCCCAAGACCCTGAAACGGGCAATTATCTCATGGTGATGGAATATATGGAAGATGGCAATTTAAGACAAGTTTTACAAAATAAGAATAAGGAATTAAGTTTGGAAGATAAAATTCAGAAGTTATGATTTATTGCCGAAGGATTAAAAGATATTCATGACCAAAACCTAGTCCATCGAGATCTCCATAGTGGGAATATAGTAGGATTTTATATCACTGACCTCGGTTTATGTCAATTAGTTAATTCGCAAAAAGAAGAAGGTGAAATTTTTGGAGTATTACCTTATGTAGCCCCCGAAGTTTTGCAAGGTCATCCTTATACTCAAAAATCAGATATTTATTCTTTTGGTATCATCGCTTACGAATTCTTAGTTAATGCTTATCCTTATGCTGAATTAGATAATTTAGGCTTAGAAGTTTGCTTAGGATTACGACCTAATCTAGATAAAGTTCCTCTACCTCAATTGTTAAAAGATTTAATTAAAAGATGTTGAGAGGCTGATCCCCAAAAAAGACCAAGTGCTGAGAAGTTAAGGGAGATTATTGACGAAATTAGAGGATATTACAAAGAAACGGAACAAGAATACAACACTTTCTCCCAATCCACTCCTTACCAAATCCATCCTACTGCCATTACTACTAGCAAACTCATAAATACTAAAAAAATCAGCGAACTAATATCCAGTAGAATGTCCAGTTTAAATTTATCAAAAACTTTTCTAACTTACGATAACTATCATTCTACAGAGTTAGACATTGATATTGAAATGGAAAACAAAGAAGAGACCAAAACAGAAAATAACTGTATAACTCAAGAGTTAGGTTTTTATATAGAAATTCCTATTTCTACTGAAATAACTAAAAGGTTGAGGTCAATGTCAATGGAAGAAGTCCATCAAAAAGAAACCAAATCAGTTAAATTAGATAAAATAACCGCAGAAAAAGAATTTCAATCTGAACCAATGGAAATAGATGAAAATATTCAGAACAGAAATTGAACTAACATCCACTCCTCTTTCACTCCTCGACTAATCCAATCCTGAACTAGCCTAAATTTCACTTACTCTCAAACTCAAGATTGGATAAACATTGGCTTACAACCTACTGACTATAATTTTGCTGCCTGACTTCGAGACATGAAGCAACTAACTCCTGAACAAGTTCTAAACTACACTAATGAAAAAGAATTAAGACAAGAATTCTTTAACTGAGGACAAGAGCAACAACAAGTTCAAATAGAAATTCCTCCAAAAAGCAATCATTAAAAGGGGAACCTAAAATCCCCTCTCCAATAAAGCCAATCCCTAATCCAGACTAAATCCTCTCAACCCCCGATAATCCCTCCGCCAATTCTTTAAAATCCCCTAAATTGTTCTTCACTAGCATTAGTGGGAATACTTCATTAATCTAATTTCTTTTAAAACTGCTTAGAGAAAAACCTCCTTTGAACCGCTTCCTTCGAGTTTAGCAATTTGTTCATTTTTCCCTCTCATCTTCTTTTCATAACGCTCGATAACTACTGCTTGTTAAAATAATCCCCACCCTTACTTCCTTTTTAAAATTAATAATATAGTAAATTAGTTAAAAATATATTCATCTTATAACACTCTTTTATCCTTATGAATACTAATAATATCTTGTGTGATTAGTTTATCATTGTGTTTAAAATCGCAACGTTCACAAAGAGGTTTATCCAATCCTTCGGTCGAACCTCAATATTTTTTTGGTTGACCTAAAACAACAAAATCGCTATTTTCAGAAACTTTAATCTTATCCAAGTACAATTGTACTTTCTCGATTTTTTACAATCAACTACTTTGGCTTTTAAGCATTTATAGCAAATTAGGTAGTGATTGATTTTTAAGATTATGCTAATTTGCTATTTTGTATCGTTTCGACCATAGGCAATTGTTATTTTATTAGTTATATAATAATTTTACAATAAATTTTAGCATTTATAATTTATTGGTAAGCAATATTCCCTAATCTCCGATTTAATTGCTGAAAACCTTGATGGAATAAGTCAATCGTTTCTCAAAAAAAGGCCTCTTGGGGTTCTTGGGGTAGATAGTATTTGACATTAGCCAAAGTGCGAATTTTATTTAAAGACTCCAAATATTCCGACCAAAAATTGTCGATTTCTTTCACCAAACGGGCTTTTAAATATTCTGGCTCGATCGGAATAAGTTCTCCTTTTGCTTTCTTGGTTTTTTTCTTAATTATTTTGGTTAGGTCAGCAGCACTTAATAACTTGTTGCGGTAATTATAAATAAGTTGTCTTTGGCGATTAATAAGCAGGTCATAATTAAGGTGATATTGTCGATTATGAGCGTGGAAATTCCGTAAAGTTTCTTGGGGTTCGGAAATGAGATAATTAAATATTTTTCCACTCAACGGGCGATGAAAAAGTTCTTTGAGTTGCTTTTGGCTAAAAATTTTCCCCACTTGCTCTTTAACTCCGAAGTTCTTAATTAACTCATCCTCTAAGGAAACATAAAAACGGCTTTCACCGGGGTCTCCTTGTCGTCCACTCCGACCGCGCAATTGATTATCAATTCGCCGGGCGGTATTTCTTTCCACTCCAATCACCAATAACCCCCCTGCTTTTCGGCTTTCCTCGCTCAAGACGATATCCGTGCCTCGTCCGGCCATGTTGGTGGAAATAGTAATGGTTCCTAATTGCCCGGCTTGGGCGACAATTTCCGCTTCTTGCTGATGGTTGACCGCATTTAATTTGTTGTGGGGAATGCCTTCTTTAACTAGTAATGAAGAAAGATATTCAGAAATTTCCACACTAGGCGAGCCAATCAAAACTGGTCTTTTTTTGGTCTGGCTGTTTTTTTTAATTAATTTAATAATCGCTTTGTATTTACTCTCTTTGTCCCAGAAAATTAAGTCGTTGCGGTCTTTACGGATTAATTTCCGGTAAGGGGGGATAGCAATAACTTCCATACCATATACTTGCCGAAATTCATCCGCTTCGCTCGTCGCGGTTCCAGTCATTCCCGACAATTTATCAAAGAGGCGGAAAAAGTTTTGAAAGGTAATGGTCGCAATGGTTTTACTTTTAGTGCTGACTGGCAAATTTTCTTTGCTCTCGATGGCTTGATGGATACCTGAACTATATACCCGGTTCGGCACTAAACGGCCAGTTAAAGCATCAATTAGCACCAATTTTTGTTCCTCTTTGTCAACTATGTACTCGATATCCTTATGATAAAGATGCTTGGCTTTTAGGGCATTATGGAGTAAAAAATTATAGCGATGGTTTTTGAAAGCAAAAAGATTATCTAATTGTCAAAATTTTTCACTTTTTTTAATTCCTTTTTGGGTTAGCCAAACATCATTTTCTTTTTGGTCGACCTTGTAATCTTTTTTCTCCACCAAAGAATTGGCTAATTTGGTGGCTAATTGATATTCGGCGGGACTAATGACACTTCCCCCTTGGGCTCGTTGAGAAATAATGAGGGGATTGGTGCATTCATCAATAAAAAGTGAATCAATTTCATCCGCAATTGCATAATAATAATCCTGTTTTCTTTTATCCTCAATATTAGTTATTAAATTATTTCGCAGATAATCAAATCCTAACTCACTACCCGTAGTATAGACAACCGCACAATCATTATATAATTGTTTTTTTTCCTCCGTGGAAAGGTTAGTTAAATTCACCCCGGAACTAATTTGAAAGAAATCAAGGATAGGTTTGGCTAGATTTCAATCCCGCTGGGCTAAATATTCGTTAACCGTAATCACAAAAACCGTTCTTCCTAGCAGTGCATTAAGACAAATCGGCAAAAAAGCAGTAAGGGTTTTTCCTTCTCCGGTATTCATTTGCGCGATATTACCATAATGTAAAACAATGCCCCCGAATATTTGGGTTGGGAACAGTAAAAGTCCGGTTTTCCGGTAAATAGTTTCTCGCACTAGAGCAAAAACCGGAACTAAATACTTATCAAGAGCCTTTTCGCGGTCTTTTTTTTTGCTACTCCGAATTTTTTTTCGATAACTGGCAAACTTGGCTTGCAGTTGTTCGTCAGTCAATGACTTAGTTTTTTTTCTTAAACCAACTACCTTGTTTTTAAGTAAAGTAAATTTTTTTAAAGTGCTTTTTTTTCAGAAATAATGGAACATGCTATAATATTATAGTTTTTTATAGAATTTATTTTACTTTATGATGGAGAGTTAGCGAGGAAGCGGGAAGAATGAAGTGGGGAGGTTTATAGGATAATTAAGTAAGTTTATTCGGAATGGGAGAGACGGCAAAAAAGATTAACTAATATTACAAAGTTCAAAATTATTTTCCGTTTTTTTAAAGATTTATAGACACAATGAATAGAAACCATAATAATCATAAAAATATAAGAAAAAATAAAAGTTAACGAAAGAGGTTTCCCCGAACCACTTGTCGCCAATTGTTTTAGGTGCCACCAAGACTTTTCCATAAAATACAATCCCGCTATCAGAATGTATACTCAAAAGAACTATTGATTATATTGGGTAAGTGAGGAATGAAATCCTAAGAAAATGTCTCGTAAACCTGAAAGCGAAAGAGGAGATAAATTGTGTGATTTTTGCTTAAAAGAGTTCTATCTAAAAGATAAAAAGGAGTTTCTTAACTCGGTAAGAGATAAAAGAAAAAGACAAACACTTCGCAGTTATATTTACCATTCTCTAATATAGATTTTTTATTTTTAACTGATATAGTTTCTACATGATAAATCTATAGTATATATGTCTAGAATTAAAAATGTGTCAAAAACACAAGAAACTATTAACGAAATACAAAACAAAATCATCCAACTTATGGCTGAAAATGAAATAACAAATGAGGAATGAAACAAAGAATGAATTAATATGTTTAAAGTTCCTGAAAAAAAGTAAATTACCATGAATTACTACAAATGTTTAAAATGTGGAGAAACATCTAATATGGAAACCCTTTCCGAAATGGAGAGATGACAAAAAGGTTGCCCCTCTTGTCAAGGTAAAAAATTAGAATTAAAGGTGTCTATTCCATTAGATGACTATAATATTGATGTTTTGAATTTGTCTTGTAATACTGATGAATGTCCCCAATGCCACCAAATAAGAGTTATGGATATCCTTAACTGGGAGGAAATTAAAGGTAGATTGATTAAGAAAGGTTATAAAACTAAACAAGAGGCTATTAAGGAAATAAACAATAAAGGTGATAATAATTGCTACTGTGGTAATTTAGAGGATAAAGACCAAGAGAGAGAGAGAGAGAGAGACGAAAAGATTGAGAAACTACGGAGAAAGATTGCCAAGTTAGAAGCCATTGTTAACCGCACTCCGCAACAGGAGCAGGAACTTAAAGAAAAGAAGCAAAAGTTAGCAGAATTAGAAAGAGAAAAACGACAATCGCAAGACCCTAAAAAAACCAACTGAACTCCGTGGATAATTGGGGGAGGAATAATCTTAATTCTAGCAATAGGGATAATTGCTTACTTCTTATGAAAGAAGCAAAGTTCAAAGGAATAAAATACCCTACACCACAGCGTTTAGGTTATTTAAAGCAACTGGGTTATACCCAGAAAGACATTGCCGCTGTTTACGGAGTAAATGAAAGAACAGTAAGAAATTGAAAGAAAGATAATGACAAACCTAAGCAAAAGAGGGGTCGTAAACCCAAAATAGGTGGCAGGCTTCTCATTGATTTTTATTTCTTCCTTCGAGGTCTGAAAAGGAAAAAAAATTGAACCCAACAACAAATGGCAAACTATCTCTCCAAAAAGGCAGGTAAGGAAATATTACAAAGTGCAAAATTATTTTCCGCTTTTTTATTATCAAGAATAGAAAGATATTAATAAAATTAATATTTTCTGATAATCTTGCCTTCAAAAACAGACATTTATTTTGCACACGGTAATAAGTCGCTTGGCAGTATTAAGAACCTTAAAAAAACTTGGTTTTACTCGCAAGAAGTTAACTAACCATTATTCAGAACAATTAAGCCATTTACAGAAAATTAGTAAGTTTAAAAAACTAATTCCTGGTTTACCTCAAAATAAAATTATTGCTATTGATGAATGTGGTTTTCACCTTAATGAAACTCCAAGGTATGGTTATTCTCATAAGAGTTCTCGGGCTGGATACATAAAACCAGGTTACCCAGGAAATAACCATACTTTAATGCTCTGTATTCAGAATGTAGCAGGTAAGGGAGTAATCCATTGAGAGTTAATCCAAGGAGGGATGAAAACTGAAAACTTTCACCAGTTCCTTACTAACCTCCAACTTCCTAGCGAAACCAAACATTATCTGATAATGGATAATCTGCCAGTTCATAAGGCAAAGCAGTCGTGTATTAAATTAGGACTTACTCCTATCAAAGAATTATCAGAAAGCAAAAATATTGAAACACTCTTTTTACCTCCTTACACTCCCGAAATGAACCCAGTAGAGTATTGTTTTAATCTTATTAGGCAATGAGTAGAAAAGAATAATCCTAGGAACTATGAAAAGCTAAAAGAGGTTATTGCTAAAATAATAAATATACTTAATGAAAAGGATTTAACCGAGTATTTTAGGCACTGTCGAGATTATAAATCTAATGGAGAAGCAAATAAATCGGCTAATATGCCTTTTTGGAGATGATTTATAAAAAATAGTAGTATATATAAAAGTGGAGTAGAAGTAGATCCATCTTGGCTCACTTTTTAATTAACTAAAAAACGGAAAATAATTTTGAACTTTGTAATAATTCAAGTTCAAACCTCAATTATTAGACTACCCAAGCCGCAAAAACTCCTCCTTTCGCGGCTGAGAGTAGATTTGTTTATTGAAAAGAGATATTATAGACCTCTTTTTTTTCATCATTCATCGCTTTTGAACTCTTGGGGAATATCAGGTCTTTCATTGTATTCGCCGATATCGGTTTCTATTTTATATTCTTTTTCCAATGTATCAAAAAACTCCTCTCTTAAACTACTAGGAAGTTTTTTTCCACACCAACAGCAATACTTTATTAACTGGACGCCCCCACCGTATTCTTCTTTGTAATCAATAAAATATTCCCTAAACACTGGATAATAACCAAAGTGAAGTTCAGATTTTTCTCCCGCCAACCTAAAAAGATGCAAAAACATTTCTTCACAACAAAACTCTTTTTTATTACCCACACTTAACATCTTGTATCTGAAAGTCGCCTAATTTTCTCCTCTTTTCAGGTGGAAGCAATTGTAGAATGATTGCGGTGAATGTGTTGATTTGTCATATTTTTTCTTCATAAATTTCTTTAATTCATTTAATTTATTTATTATATAATTTTATTAACCACCATATAATGTTCTTTCTCGAGAATAGAAATGTTAGTAAAGTTTAGGAGGAAAAAGGATTACAAACGATAATAAAACTTAGTTTGTCGCAACTTCAAAGTATTATTTCTACTTTTTTGGTTTATTTGTATATTTTCTTGGGTGCTATCCACAACATTATTAGAACTAAACAAGGAGGAAAAGCACTTAGCAAACTATTTTTAAACAATCTTTTTGGAGGAACCGGTCGGATTCGAACCGACGAATGGGAGTTTTGCAGACTCCGGCCTTAAACCACTTAGCTACGGTTCCATTTTTTTTTTTTTTTTTTTGCTCTTTCGCCTTTCCAAATAAACAACAATTCCCAACAGGGAAATAAAGATTAATGAAATTACTGCTATCGTTAGGAAAGGCGTTGAAGAACTGTCGGAAGAAGTTTGCGGGCTTGTTTTGGGCGGGAAAAGTTTTCCCTCACAATTTAATTTTTTCATTTTTAAATCCATTAATTTACCCCCAGCCCCTAGTTTGACCCAAGCATATTTATTTTTCCCGCCATTAGCCGTTGTATTACTTTCGAATGCTTCTAAATCCTGGATATTTTTTTCCAATAGTTTTAGGACGGTTTGGTTTATGTTTTCTCCTGCTTCTATGTCAGTGGTTCATTTTTTCTCCAATAATCCCTCTAACTCCTTTATAGCGGCCTGGGCTTCGGGGCTATTATCAGGGGCAATTTCATTTTCCGGAAATAAATCATAATTAGAAATGGTGGCCACAATTTTTTTAAAACTTGCTTGACCTTGCTCGGCACTGCCTTTAGGATTAAATTCGTACTCCTTAGTTTGTCGTTCTTTTTGTCATTGTTCCATCAATATCGAATAGAAATCTCTTCATCCCTTCTCTCGTTCTTCTTTACTCATTTGGGAAAGTCTTCGGTCGACATCTCGGTCGTTTTGTTCTTCCATTTCACTACCTCGACCTTCTAAAACTTCATGGGTGTGTCATAACAAGGGAATTAATTCAGTCGGACAACTATCAGCCTTAATTTTAACTGCATCAATTCACTGAAAAAACTTTTTTTTTAATTCTTCTTTGAGAAAGGAATTTTTATTTTCTAAACTTATCTTAAAGGCATATAGAGCAGTTATAAAAATGCTTTTTAATTCAATTTTCATTTTAGTTGGGTCAAGGGAATCAATATCAGGCCTCTCAATCGAATTAATCAGGACTTGTTTTCTTTGTTCTCAATCAGAATAATAATTAGTTTTCTCAATGTATTTTTCTAGCCATCCGATGGTTCTCACAAAATTAGAGCGAGTTATTTTATTATTTTCCTTATTCATAACAAATTTTCAATATTCTTTCTTTAATCTAATTTTATGGGATAATCTTGTCGGGCGAACATTATTTTGTTCTACAAACTATTGGCAACTTTCATAATACTATTTAATAAACAATTCAAAAATCCTAAAAATAATTTATAAAAAGAGAAAAAAATAATAGTAACAATAATGAGTACGCAGGTTAATCAGCAACAGCAACTAATCAAAAAATATTTCAACTTACTAGTTAAGGAGTTCATTACCGACCCAAGACACAATGAGGATATCCGCATAGTTTTTGAAAAAGATTTAGGGAGCGAAGGAAACGTTACAACCTTAGGCAATACTGAGAGAAGTGGAGGTCTCCAACATTGAAAAGTGTATGAAGAAAGTGGGGTTGAAGTTCCGGGTTCTCGATGACAAGAACCTTTTATTTATACTATTTCGTTTTTGAACCAATATAAAGATGAGGAACAATTAAGGGGAACAGTAGTTCATGAGTTCACCCACCTTTATCTTTATTCTACGGTTGGCAAACATGACCACGATGACCGTTTCTACTCTACCATGGAATATTTGGAAAGTTGGCTTGACAAAAATCAGAAATTAAGTCCTCGGGCTGATAAAAGTGGCGACCGCCTCCAATATGTTGGTGATAATAGCGAGACTAGCGATAAAGAAAATACTTGTCCGGAATGCTCCCGCGCCAGTCCTCACCACTCCCCCCAATGCTCTCATAATCAAAACAATCCTCTTCCCACTAGACAATCCAAACCAGGACAAAATACAGATATTACTAATGACCCCCAAAAAGCGGCCGAGTTTGACCAGTTAATGAAACAGTTGGAAGCCAGTCAAGACCTCACGACCCTCGAAACCACTTATCAAAATATAAAAGATAATCCTCTTTATAATAATAATAAAAAATCACTAGACAATTTGTATGAGTTAAAAAAACTCTTTTTGCAGTCTTCTAGTAATAATCAACGCTCGTCAACTAATGACCCTGGCTTTAATAAGGGTGGACTAGGCAGCAGAGAATATTTTCTGATTATGTTAGTGGCAGTGGGAATTATTCTCGTGGCAATGATTGGTTATTTGGCATTATCCGGAGGAGAAGAAAACCGAACTTTGGTCAACAAAAAAAAAAAAAAAAAAAGATAACTTATCATGTCCTTGGAAAATAAAATTCGACTCTGCTATGTTAAACTAGAAGATTTATGAGAGTGAATAAAAGAAAATCAACTTCTCACCCAGGATTTCACTCCGGAAAAAGAAAAATGAGCCAAGGAAATCAGCCAACAACCTAATTTTTTTTCGGATACTGAATTACTATTAATCCATCAAGATATCCTGCTTTTAAAAGTTATTAATGACGGTCAGGCGGATTTTTTAGCCAAAACTTACCAATTGGAATACCAGAAAGTGTGTCAAAAACTTTTTCAGACCAATAAAAATATCCTAATGGTTATTGATAGACAATGAAAAATAGATGGCAATTCTGAAAAATTAAGGGAGCAAAAAAGTAATGAAAAGGCAATCGTTTTGTTTAGAGACCAAGAAAGTATTGAAAAAAACCTCGCTAATTGATTAAAAGAAGCAACTGTTTAGGAAATATTCATCAACAGAATTTTAACTTATAGTGAATAACAAAACCGGATAACTTATTAGGCACTTTACTTGCTATAATTTAAAAGTTACAAATTAATTTCCTCAATTTTTTTTAACAATACAAAATCATTTTTTAGCTTTTGAAAGTTAGTTAAAAAATCTACTCCCTCGCCGTCCTTTAAAATTAAGAAATTGGGAAATTCTTTCTTTATTTTTTCCAACTCTGCTTGGCAAATAATTTGATTAGTTAATAAACATTGCTTATTTTGATAAACGGCAGCGTGGTATTTACTTCCTTGACTATTAATCGTTAGTAAACTAAGGCAATTATTTGTTCCTGCTTGTAATAATAAAGTA